ATACTACCACTCTGGGGATTAGGTTTTAACTAATCAATTTGGGAGACAACACAAACATTCAAACTATAGTATTGTGCCCTGGCCACCTTCTGTTTTGGACATGCTTGCCCCCTTCAAAGTTTTATGTGTTTGAGGCTTGGTCCCTCTGGTGTAGGTAATGGAAGATGGAGTGTAATTTCAAGAGGCAAGGCCTAGTTGGATATCCTTAGGTCCCTTAGGGGCATGCTTTTCGAAGGGAAGGCAGACCCCTGAGGGTCTCTCTGGTTTTCTATTTCAGTATGTTATTTCTTCTCTCATATACTCTCACTTTTTTGACATCTTCAGCCAAGAGGGCCTCCCCAGAGCACAGCTGATGGTGTGGTATGCGCTTGGATCTCCACAGCTGTGAACTAAATAAAATGTCTTTTCCTTATAAAGTTAGTTCCTGGGGTATTTAATTATAGTAATAAAGAACTTAATACCAAATTCATCTCCTCTCAAATACACTAAAATACTATACATCTGTTCCATCACAAAATCCAGTGGAAGGATAGGAATAGAGTAGATATTTCTGCTCCAAAAAGGAAAAATAGCAAAGAATAAAGGGGTAATAAATCTTGACCAAATTCAAAACCCACCAGAGTAAAAGTTAAACTTGAACCTGGAGAATAATCTTTGATTCTGTGCCCTTCTCCCAGACACACTAAGTTCCCAAGTTCCTTGGCAGCCTCACCTCTACAGCTTTTCTGGGTGTATCTCACACACTGGAGTTAACATGTCTGTGGCTTTCACAGGGTGGTGGTGCGTGCTGGTGTTCCTGTAGTTCTGGGGCTGGGGAAATCTCACTCTTAAACTCCACTAGATATTTCTCTAGTTGAGACTCAGAAATGACCCTGCTGCTATCAGAGACATGCTTGGGAACCCAGGTGGAAGTCATGCTCCATAGCTTTTGTACTCTATGCATCTGCAAAATTAATCCATACAAATGCTGTTAAAGATTTTTTTGGCTCATGGTATCAGTCCATGATTGACTGTCATTAAAGCACTTGCACCCCCTGAAGAAGTAACATGAGCCACACCTGGGCCTACTTGAGTCACCACATGCAGTTAAGGAGTGATGAACCAGAATGCAGGGAAGAGACCTAAGGTCTTTTCAGGCAGTAAGCCTTGAGGTGCTGTTGACCACCTGAGTTCTTTCTATCCTCTAGGCCAGTAGTGGTGAACCCAAGAAATGCATGCCATAGCAGGCTGTATATATTATTAAAAGCTCTAAAAGGTTTGCCATCCCTGGTTAGACCCTGGTACTGTAGGCCTGTGATGTCTATGGCAGGCTCAAAAATCTCTGAAATTCTTTAGGGTCATTCTCCCATTAGCTTTGTTGGAAAAGAGCTCCAGACTCAATTTGTCAATGCCAATAGCAAAACACTCAAACATCAAGAAATCTTGACAAGGCTTTTACTTTTGCAAAAGGGCTCAAGCATGAGGTAGCAGGCTTACAGTAGAAAGGAGAGTTCCTCCCTTTTATCCCTAACACAGGAAGAGCAGCTGACCCTTCTCATTGGCTTGTGTGGAGGTTCACAATCTGTCATGATTGGATAACTTGTGTGACTCCAGGGGTTGTTGAGAAGAAGGGAGAACAGAGAAGAGGGGGATGTGGAAAACAGAAAATCTTTGCCCCATGGCAAGCTATCTTTGGTTTGTAACAGTTTCCAGGATGGAACTGAGCAGAGATGTTCTGTAGCTTATTATGTTCAGGAAAGGTTATCTAGGATGGGCTAGAGTTCAAGGTAGAGCCACCGCTGTTTGATTTTTTTTTTAAAAAAAGGCACAATGTACTATTTTCCACACCTTGATGAATAGCATTTGGCTTCCTTCTATCCATAGTAATCTCCTTATAATAGTCAAGTGGGCATGTCCTTTATTCTTTTTCTTAATCATACTCTTTGTTCTTTGCTGCTTTTAAAAAGTTTCTAAATCTTTATGTTCTGCTTCCCTCTTACCTCAAAATTCCATCCTGCAACTGTTTCTTTCTTCTCACATTTTCATTATAGGCAGGAAAGGGCTAATTGTCACATTGGTTTTCTTTGGCTCATGGTATCAGTCCATGATTGGCTGTCTTTAAGTCAGAAACAGCATGGCAGGGGAGCATGGAGGAAAATGTGCTTAACCCATAGAAGCCAGGAAACAGAGGAACAAAGGCGGACCTGAGCAAGAAGGCACCCTTTTAAATTATGCCCTCAATGTGTGACCTACCTACCCTTTCTGATCTGCCCACTTTCAAATGAGTGGCTGGGCTGGAGACAGACCACACATGTGGGGCTAGAGCAAGGCCAGGCCTGAGAACATGGAGCTCTAGATGCAAACCATATAAACAAGTTGTTGGGACTAGTCAAGGCCAGCCCAGCAGGTGTCTGGCCTTGGTGTTCTTCCCTGGTACTTATAGCATAGAGAGCTTTGAGAATGTTTTGCTTTCAGTATTCTCAGCAAAACACAAGACCTTGCACTTTCAACCTCCTCATGCACTTCTCTCCTTTTTACTGTGTATAAATAGAGCCAGACCATCCTGGAATTTTGCCACCTCTCCATCAGATAGGGCAGGACCTACCTGGTCCTAGTTTTCCTTTTACTATGTATCTATAGATTTTTCTTAACTTCCTGTCACCCCCACAGCAGGACTCTGCTGGAAAAATGTGAGAACATTTTAGATCTAAACCATAAGTACCGTTAGTACTCTGTTATGCTTACATATTTCTTCTGCCATAAGCTCCATTTTGATGCACTTAAATCCTTCCTCCAAAATGTCTTTCTGCAGCAACACAATTTAGCCAAATTCTTTGCCATGGCCACTTTAATAACAAGAATGGCTGTTCCTTCAGTTGCCAAGAAGATATTTCTCCTTTCTATCTGAGACTTCATCAGAATGAACTTTACTGTCCATATTTCCCATCAACATTCTTTATATGACCACCTAGATAATCTCTAAGATTGAGGATCTAAATCTCCTCTGAACACTTACCATAATTGCCCTTAATCTTTCATTCATGGCAATAAAGACTTTCTAGCCTCTTTTCCAGATTCTTGGCACCTTTGCCTGTTACCCAGTTTGAGGCCTAACACCATTAAAGACTATACCT